AAAAAAGAGAAAAACTTAGGACTTAATAGAGGTATTAGAAAGACTAGGAGAACAGAAAGCTCTATGGAAATCAATAACAAGTAGTCGAGATACATACACACACACACACACCCCCCCACCCACACACACACACAAATCAAATTTTGGATAAATGGGATCCACTGATTACTGATTTTATGAAAAAAAGTCCATTTTAGTGAGATAATTTATGGATTAGATAGTCCCTTATAAAGCCTACTACTTTTCAAAATATTATTATAATTAAACTGGTCAAACTACAGAGTGTTTTTGAAAAAGCAAAGTGAATCGGCTTAGAATTATTAAAAATCATTAAAATTGACATTTAAATATAATATTTATAAAAATGATATCTTTTTTAACGAAATTTTAATAATTTTTCAATCATGCGATATCTTTAAATACATATAACGACGAATAACATGAAAATGCACCGTGTATATAATAATGTTAGAATATATGTATAATAAATTACCTTCACTTGTACATGAGCAGCACGAAATAGCGGGCTTTGGTAGTGAGATTAAATTTTAAATAATGATGAGAATGTACAAGCAAGCAGCAAAAGCCGCACGACTGTTTGTGGTGAAATTTACCGGAAAACATTCATGTGCTGTATAAATATGTTAGTACGTATGTGGTGTATTGGGTTGTTAATATTCTATCAGTGTTTGTAATAGAATTGTTTATTATCTATGTACATGAAATTGCAAAAAAACCCAAACATACCATNCATGCCTAGAAATGTATAAAAATTGGCATATTTATTAACTTTGAACCCTTATAACTTTTTATGGGGGTGAGGCAGCCACGAATTTTTTACGGCACAGTGGTAGGGGAGACCTCCTCCCTCGACCCCCCCACCCCCGAAGGGGGTAGGGACCATCATCTAGAACTTTACCCAAAAAAAATCTAACAAAGCAATTTTTGAAGGTTTGCCACACAATTTTTGCTTTTTTTTAATACATCATTAGCATCCAATGGCATAATAGATGTGTAGAAAGGTGTAATAAAACAACCCCTCCAAATTTTTTATGTATTATTCACATAAGACTATGGTGGGAAATAGTTTCTTTGAGTCCCCCTTTTAATAGAATATGTTCAAAAATTATTTTTTTTATTTCGTAAAAATGGAGCAAAGTTTGATCTTTTTTTCTACACTTCTCCCTTCCCCTCCTCCCACCACCCCTCCCCGTATCCCTTGCATTATTTCATAGCGTTTCACTCAAAGAAGTCTCGCATCTACAAGGCCAAATGTGGAACAACCACAATTAATAGATACCTGCTAAAGGCGGTCCAACAAGGTTAGCAATTCCTTGGACGAGGAGAAGTAGACCATAGGCATTAGTGAACCGTTCTAAAGTAATCAATTCAACGAGGATGATGCAGGTCAAGGAATAATTGGCGGCTATAAAAAATCCAAACAGACCCGCTACCACGCAAAGGCCCCAGTAGCTCTTAATCAGTGGAACGAAGGCTAACACCACCCCGCAGAAACCCATGCAAGTAGCATAAATCAAACCAGAATTCACATTTGGACGGTCTCCGGCCCAGCCCAGTATTATCTTTAAAAACCAAAACATATCAGAATGAAGCAAAATTTTTTTTCCTATTTTTTTTTTCTTTTAATACCTCTCCGAACATGTTGACGATTCCAATCACGGAGACCAGAACAGATGCGTCCTTCTTCGAGAAACCGATTTCGACAGCGTTGTCTGCCAAATAGACGTAGGGAACATCGTACCAAGTGTACAATATAAAATTGGAAATGCAAAAGAGCAAAAATTTCATGTCAGCAAAGTGTGAGAAGTCAATTATGTCGACCAGCAAGTCCCAGAAGTCCCACAGTACCGAATACCATTGGACTTTCTCTTTGGCTATCGTGGTCATTGAATTCCGGTATATGTCAGGGCAGGAAGATGCTCTCAACCTGTATCTATTGATATTCAACATTGCCCCTCTGTAAGTCAACGACAATCTGTGAAGTTTCAGATCTTTTAAATATGCCGTGGGCAACTTTTTCTGGGCATTCATCCTCGGAGGCGTGATGTTGTTCCTGTTGAGCCACCAAAGGTATGCGGCGTCGGTGTGCGATGGTGTAGGAGAAGGCACAGGAGGAGGAAGATCCTGACGAGTCATGGGCTGTGAAGTTCCATTAGAATTCAGGTGTTGTTCGTTTAATCGTCCGGAATCACTGAAACTCCTTGAAGGTGCGAGCAGTCCAGGATAATTTTGCATCAGAAGGTTGTAAACGTCTTTGTTACTGGATAGGAGTTCTAAAACTTCAACTGGTACTTTTTCACCGTTATGTACGAACGTTGGTAAATTGACCAACGAGCTGCACAGCCTTTCGGTTTCAGCATCGTCCTTTTCGCCATCCTTCTCGTTGGTTTCATTAACAGTCTGCAAGGCACTCGCAGTATTAGTACTGTTGTTGCTTACAGAAAACGTATCGACAGAAGAACCGTTCCTTCGTCTTTTCGCCCTTCGTTTTTCCTTCCGCTCTTTCCGTTCTTTTTTCTTGGTGATCCTAGTCCAGGGAAGGTCTCGCATCAGTGCTCCGCACACAACAAGATTGAGGAATATTCCTGCCAAAATGAGGGTCGTACCTCGCCATCCATATTCGTCCAACAACACCTGGGTCAAGGGGGCAAACACGAAGGTTCCTATGCCACTACCGCAAACAGCCAATCCGGTTGCGAATGATCTTCTAGTGTCGAAATAATAAGCCACGATAACAACAGAAGCTACGTAACACAAACTTAATCCAAAACCTGCCAATACTCCAAACGTTAGCAGGAGCACTTCAATGCTATTGACGAAGGAGCTTGTAACAAAACCGATACAAGCAAGGAAAGCGCCGACAATTGTGACTTTTCTGCAACCGTAGCGGTCGGTGAGGAAGCTAGCTATGGGACCGGAAAGTAGAGGCATCGCCATGAATAAACTGCCAATCCACGATGTTTTACTTTTGCTCTCTCCAAAGTATTTTAAAAACTCTACGAAGATGACGCCAAAACTGAAAGTAATTCCGTCGGCGATGAGATTCACGACAAATGATGCCGCGACCACCACCCAACCCCATCCCCCGTCCGGGGGTCTGGTTTCCGATATCTCGACCGACTCACTACTCGAACTCGATTCCGAGGAACTGGAAGAACTTGAAGAGTTCGACCGGATACTGGACGAATAGAGGGAAGGATTTTTAACTTGCAAAGTACTAGGCGTTTCGTTTTGAAATTGCACATGATAAACACGTTCATCATCTGCCTCGGATTTACGACGGGACTTGTCCAAAGTTGTGGTGGAGGTCTTTCTGCTGTCAAGTTGAGACTGCTTCGAGAAGGCCGAACCGTTAGAAGTACTTTTTACCAATAACCTATCGGTTTCATGGGCATCGTCGACTGCATTCTCATAAATATTTTTTTTGACAACTACTTGGGGTTTACTACTATTGGCGTCTTTAGGGACTTTACTCAAAGATTCATTGCTACCGATTTTATGTTGAGGGGTGCTACTTCTCGATCTGGGAAGAGAGACGATAATACTGGGAGGAGTTGTTTTGCTGTTGGGGGGACTTGTTGCGAGTTGGAGGGACGCATCTTGTTCGCACCCTGCAGGACTACTGTTAGGATTGGGTGAACGGCTATCACTACTACCAACTTCGCGTATGGTGTTGGTATCAACGCCACCGTGACCGTCTTCGTCGCCGTCAACACTACTAAGGGCACTATCGTTATTAATATTTTTTTTATTAACATTAACGCGTAATTGGCTATTTATTTGGCTAAAGTCATTAACGGTATAAGTGTCCATAATTTGGTCGGCCATTCCTGCAGGTCTCGGCGAAACTGTCTGCGTGAGAACGCAAGACGTAGAGACGAAAAAATGGATTCTATCATGCGGCTGGGTACCGGCGGCTCACGCCGAAAATCAACTCTTCGGAAGTGTCGTGCCATACGTGGGACACTCCGACCAAAGAGACTGCACGTTACGCTGGAAAAAAAAAAAGAAGAACGATCATATCTTCACACTACACCGTCTGCATGACCAATGGAACGCATGGGGAGTGGAAAACAAAGAAGCCACCGGCAAACCAAATAAGCAAGCAATTATAAGCGTGCTAATTATTAAAGAAGAATTAACTAGATGCAGTGCAGCAACAAATTAAGAACCAACAACCAAGGAAAACATCCAAAGCCAAAACAAATGAAAACTATGACTATAATGGGGCCACACTTGTCAAAACTCACGACTCGTACAGTGTTAAAACGACTAATGCATAGAAAATACCACAAATGGCGCGAATAACGCCATCTGTAGTACGATGCTACACTTCAGGATTTCGTATGTTCCAACAAGGTCCATTTAAATATATGGATATCTAGTTGCTGAAACGAATCCCGGCGTAGCTAACCTCAACGTGATAGGCACGTTATCATAATTTAGGGTTGCCATCTCTAAAATTTGGAAACCAGGGCAAGACGCGTGAAAACCCCGGATTTTAGAGTCCAGAACCCGGACATGTCAACAGGTTTTTTTAAACATAGTCAGTATAACAAAAAACAGTTGAAAATGTCATAAATCACCCTTTTATTTATTTTCAGACCTTAAAATTAAATTTAGTCATTCTTTATCATCATTTTCAATGTACCTAACAAAACAGAATCTTATAAAATGATTCGAAGTGGTCTGTATTCTTATTACTCTTATTACAGTTTGTTACAAATTGTTTTAATAATCAGTTAGATTTCTTTTACGTGTGTGGCGGGCGGCCCAAGACTTTAAATTTTTAAACCAGGACTACAAATGAAGCCCCCCCGGGAGCTCCCCGGATGCCC